AGTTGATTCGAACGAGCACACACGCGTCAAAGTAACGCAAGGAAGAGCGGCGTTCGGAAATGTCGGGCCAACGAAATGTCATAGAATTATTGATTCCCGTGAAGTTCGCGAGCAGAAATGCCGCCTGTGGCAATTCGATGTAATATTTATTTTAGAGTGTAAGTTTCTCGTAGGGTGAGAACGCGCATTATTAACGCGCACAGTTCGCGTCGAGAACTCGGGTTTATTTTCGAGCTACCTCTCGCATCGCGGGCGAGATTGTTCGCGCAGAGCTCGCAGATATTGCAGCCGTCGCGACGCATGCAATAGCAGTGACGCCGGCACTGTAGGTCCGCCGCTCTCTCCTTTCGGCTTTCCGCACCTGCCGATCGGCGTCGGCGACGCGTCGACAATTAGTCGTCCCGTAGCTGCAAATGGGACACGGAGATCGGCAGGTCGCTTCGTGATTCGGGACATATTGGATGTCACCGAGCACAATTGGACGGCGTGTCTTGTCATGGCCTCGCGCCCGAGCGCGCACACATAGCACCGATAGCTCCGATTCTTTTTACACGGGGAATTTCGCAAATAAGCGCTCCACGATCGATTCCTGCGACTCGACTGATCGTCGTCACGTTGGAGAACTGCGAGCGTTCTTTCTCGCGCGCGCGAGTACGATGAAGCGTCCCGTGGCACTCGTCACCGCGAAAAATTACGCCATTGTCGGGAAACATGCTTTTAAAGTGGTCGTAGGATAAAATGAGTTTATTAAGAATTCGTCGAAACTTGCGTTATATTTAAATTTAAGTACGACCTAATTAATCGACTCAATTAGAAAACGTTTAACCATTTGGAAGCTGAGATATTCGCAAATAAAGATGACACTTTTTATGCGTATTCCTCGAGGTTAATGTCCTATTTTTAACTTCTATTTTTAATTTCTTTTAAACTACATTTGCTATTTTAATGATAAATCGCTGTGATTAAGGATTAATATAGAGACATTTATGCAAAAATATCTGAATTATTCACCATTTTGTTTTATCAATGTAAGAAATTTACAATTTATAGTAATACTTGCGACACATGTATATGTACATATATTTAAATATTTATATATAATTTTCTATTATGCATGTACCTCTATTAATTCAACTGACGTATAAATCAAGCATTAATAAGAAAAATAAGAAATAAATAATATCTCTGTGTTTGTAATTTTGTGTGTGTATTTCTCTTAATTTCGCTCAAAATTAACATCTATTATTTAGATAGTTAATAAAGTTATAGACAAGAATTTCTTTCAGGAAATAACAAACTTATGTAATATCGCCGCTGAAAATCCAGCACTCTGTGATATAACTACCTTAAGGAAGATGCAAATTTCACCGTGCAATTAATAATTGCTGAACAAGATGATATCATCAGTCAGTGTCAATCAAAATTTATCATGCACAGTGAGATCGTTCGTTTTTTTGTAGGGACGATAAAAAATTACTTTAAGCAAGTACTGCAGTACTGCAGGAGTGCGAAAGCGTACACGAGCATTTCGTCGTGATTTAAGGAATAAATTATTTCCGATTTTCTACAGACAGACATACCGTCGTATCGATTTATCCGCGCAGTTGGATTCAAAACACACGATCCAATGTCAACGTAGAGGTAGTCCGGTGATATTTTTTTTTCTTTTTAGATTACGACGTCAAGGGAGTCGGGTGGGTTAATGCAGTGCAAACATCTTGAGCGCACGATGCGCGAGTGTGATTATAGATGCGCCTGCTGCAATCGTTGTTGCGCTGACGGAAAGACACATCAAAGCTCCGCCTCTCGCGAGCCACGAGTTCTCTGAAGTTTCAAAATTATTATTTACTCCGCATACGCATGTAGATCCCGGCGATATGGATATTGTGCACACGTACGCTTTACAAACGAGCGCCGGGGCTTCAAAGCCGGTTTCGCGATTACTGGCGTTCTCTACTTGCCAGGACTCGACTGTAACGACTAAAGGGATCGCGTACACGGTTGTACACGACGGTGCTCGACACACGCCGTAACGAGGTGGCTTATATGTGTTTCCGGTGCGCATCGGGTGAATCGTGTGTTCGATGAGCCGCGAGTTCGCCGTTCGGCGTTCCGGAAATACTAAGAAATTCGACGTACGAAAATTCCCCGCTGTGAACGCAATGCCGTAATTAATTTCAGTCACGGCGAACCGGTTACGCGAGAACGCGTCGCGTGACAGTTCGTCACGTGGAGCGTACGGCCAATTTTCACCGCGTATCATTTTCGCCGGGCGTTTCTGCGAGTGCCATTGAAATATTTTTGTCCAACGGAAAATAAGGAGTGCCATTCATCGTGACGTAATCGGGAATAAGTTACGCTAATGTCACCCGGCGAAATTACGTCGGAAATTTTCCGAGGGCTGAACTTTCCCGCCCGCATGCACGCACACCCGTTCGAGCGCAAATGCGCGAGATTCAATTCATAGGTAACGAGAATAGCCTCGGGACTGATTCGTAGCCAGCCGGTTTTCTTAAATTCTCTATTGAACGACGACGACAACTCGAATATGAGGCGGTGGGAAGAAAGTGATTTTCAGGTCAGACATCGGAGACCGTGTCAGAGTCATCGTTGAAAGAAAAATGCGGTGAAAGGATTGGGAATTGAAGTGGGAAGGGCGTTCGCGAGAAATCAATAGCACTCATCGAAATGTCAAGCTCTTTTGCAACGCTCGAGCGGACGTGTATGTACGCGCGCAGTTTCAGATTCGCGCTCGTTAACCTGGTCATCTTTTTCATGCCTGACGGCGGGAAAAATATAGCGATAGGGCCAGATACGTTTCGCGTTTCTAGCACCATGTTTCCTGCATCCGGTGTCCCATTAACCTACATTATTGCTTTTCGCTTTCCCGCCTATCACGATTTTTTATCACGCGCCAGTGGATCCCCTCATTTAAATATCGAGATACACGCTGTTACACGCGCATAGATAAATATCAACCGGTAAATTCAAAGGATTCGGCGTCGCGCAGCCCGAAGTGACTCCTGCGCTCTGTGTATCTCTCTCTCTCTCTCTTTCTCTCTCTCACGTTTTCATTATTTCACAAAAACATGCCGCATATTTATCGCAGAAAAACGGATTTTTCCGACTTCGTCCTCTGTTCTTTCGTGCTCAGTAACGTTTCGTCTCAGTAACGTGACGCTTTCCCGATATTAAACGTTTCCTTAATTTTGAACATTTCAGACTTACGTTTATTTAGTACACTCCGGATCCGGACTTTACAGTGATATTGCTACGCTGAATGCGAGATATTCGAAAAAAGCGCGCGCACGCACACACACTACCGGTATCTTTTCGTTTCCATATTTTTCGGCTTACCGTGCTATTTTCCCCGCACCGATCATCACCCCCGCCGGCTCTCTCGCTCGCATCACCTCGATCGCTTCTTTCCCCGCGAAGCAGATATTACCCTCCGAGAGATACGTTTAAGAAACGCGCACCCCTTCATATTTCTCCCCGGCCTGAGGAGGCCCCACCCTTCTTTCGGGGCTGTTCCGCCGCCGCCGATGCTCGGGAGAGCGCCGGCGTTCCGCGTCTTGCCAATCTTTTTTCTCCCGCCCGATATTTTTCCGGCCGGTGTTTTCATCGCCGGCGGCCCGCGAAGCGGGGCCGCCGGCAAAAATTCCCTCACGCCCGTAATTCATCGCGCGTCTACGTCGAGCAATACGCCGCCGTAACTTACGCCGGCTGGCCCACGATCGTAAAAGTAACAACGAGCACGGGCGGAGCTCGCGTTGTTACGTCGGGGCGAAGCGCGCGCACTGGGCGGTTAAGACGTTGGCGCGCGATGAGCGCGACTAAACGGCGCTGCTCTATTTTGTAACAAATCACGAGCCCGTGGACTCCTCTCCTCGGATTTACGAGACGTCCGATCAGGACCTATCCGGTGAATTCTCTCTCTCTCTTTCTCTCTCTCGAGCTCGTTCCTCACGCGCTCGCGCGTGCGATTTTACGTATGGGCGCGCGAGTGCGCGTGAGCGTCTACCGATATTTGATCGCACCTCGCGATAGCACGCTGCGTATAATTCGTACGGTTCTGTGTATTTGCCAGGGACACGCGATACACGCGTGCATACGTGTAATTATGTATTTGTGGATTTATGAATATTTGGATCTGTGGAGACTGCGAATCTATAAATCCACGGTTTCACGCGCGAGCAATTGGACAGGGAAATTTATGAAATTATACGGAAAGATACATATATATATATATATATATATATATACACTTTATGTTTTGTGAAATTCTCTCTTCCTTTTGTCACTTTCGATGCAATCCATTTCTTGAGAGACGCGAAATTCTTTAAGCGTTACGAAAGGACGAAAAGCGAGAGGCAATTAGCGGAGGTATTGTGAGCGTTTAAAAACTAATTTCTTAAGCGAGGCGTTTCCGAGAGTAGACTATCGAGTTCTCGAACAGAGGGACCATAGCGACTTACTTTTTTAATGTCCCCACACGGGGGTCTCCGGCCTGGATTGAAATATAACAGCGCGTTGACACGATCACGGGGAACGGAACAGGAAAATAGGCACGCGCGAAAATACAGGTGGGAGAGACAACGCGTTGGAATTTCGACATCGCGATAACGACGACGTTCGCTCGCGCGAGCTCGCGTAATAATAACAGCGGTGACTGCCACGCTGCGTTATGACGCGATTAAATTTCGCCGCCGGCGAAAATACGCGGCGATCCAAATCGAATCTACGATCTACGACACTCTCTATAACTTAGAGGCACAGACAGGCGATATTTCACGCGGCGCTGCGAGAAACCGCAGACTGAACAGAGGCTGCCAATGAATTACGACATGGTCTGTGTAACGCGCAATCGTGCGTATGTAATTTTCGGAAGACGCACACATCGACGAGTGGTAACTCCCGAGCCAATGTCGAACCTATATTGGGCGCGCCGCGCGTATAAGCATTTCCTATAATTTAATTAAACCGCCCGTGGGTTTCAGGACTGCTCAGGCTGCAGCAAATTTATCAGGGGCTAAAGCCAGGCAACGAGTCCTTTCAAGTCGAAACCGTCAAGAGAATACAGAACATGTCAGAGGCGATCGATTTTCTGCGCAGCCTGGAGGAACTTAACCGGTGAGTCTTTCCGTCGAAACGTATAACACACATAAAAGTGCGGCGCCTCTTCCGCTAAGAATATTGCAGGACCGACCGTGCCTTGCACCGCCGACGTGCCTGCTATTCCCGGTTACGAATACCGTTTTCTTTTTTTCCCTCCCTTTTCTTTTTTCTCTCTCCCTCCTTTTACGGTTATATGCAGCGCCGGCGCCAAGTAGAGCGTACTTCGCCTCGTAGATATTATGAAAGAAAAATAAGTTTCATCGGGCAACTTCGCGAAATCCCCGTCATTATTTTGGCGAATTTACGAGTGACTTATCCGACACGCGTGAAGCGGTAACGCAGCGGCGAACCACCCTGACGAGGACATTATCGCGTTGTCGACATTGCGCGGGGTTGCGATAATAAAAGGAATTTCCCTCGGAAAGATGAAAAGCAAGGCGTGCACGCGATTAGATTGAACGTTTCTCGAGATCGTACATCTCGCCCCTCGGGATAGTCAGAAAAGAAGAGAGCGGTAATACGAAGCCCGCGGTTCCGGCGATGCTGCGGCGCATTTCCCCGCGTATACAGCATATCGGGCGTGTGACGGATAAGGTCGGTACGACCGGCGAGCTCACGCTACAATTCACCGGCGACTACGCATTTGCGCGATGCAAGTAATCAACAACAGCCGAGTAATTGCCATCGCGGCGGTTCGAATTGGCCGTGAGCCGTGGTGGGAGTAATAGTAATAGCAGTAGCGGCGGCGTCCGTGATGACGGGTGTGGTGGTGGTAGTTACCGAAAACAACGGCGTTATTGCAAATTGCCATACAATATCCAATTATTACAAACGAAATGAGCGTGGAAACTCGGCGGTGCATCGATCAAACGCGACAAAGCCGTGGCGCGTTAACGCGTACGTTGGGGACTGCGGTCAACAACGGCGCGCCCGTCGGACTTATGTCACTCTCTCTTCCGGAAAATCCTCTCATGGAAAATCCAGTGACGGCCTTCTCCCGTCCAGGGAAAGCGCGACTCATCCCGAAAATCGCCGGCGAATTGTTTCAGATGGAGCAACAAATACGTCGTGCTCGACTGCCCGACGGACATGGCGAAGGATATCGTCGTGAGTCACGTGAGAGACGTGGCTCTGGGAAAGAGGACGTATCATTATCTGCTGAGTGGCTTGGTAAGTCGATCGAAAGGGAAGCCCGCCGTCTGCAAACCGTGGAATAAAAGAGTGAAATTTTATCCCGACCACCTCCCCCTGTGTTTATTTCGCTCTACGGTTGGCGCATCTGAAGTAGGTAACGCCCGGTTTCATCCCTTCTATCTGTCACCTGCCGCGAATATATCGGAAGGAAATAGAAAAAAAGTGCATATTGGATCGGCGCGCGAGTTTCCCCGGTACGGTTTTGACGAGTATCGCGCGCTCTACTAATTTCCTCGACCGCTCAGTGTCAAATATTGGTTTTGTCCCGTGCGCTGCATGGTTAATTCTCCGAAGTCATATTACTCGAACCAAATTTTTCCAACCGCCAGCGGTCGTCCGCTCGAAGCACCTTTTTAAAATGTCGCTTTAAGGTAGTTGTATCGTGGAGTGCCGGACTTTCAGCGGCGATATTAAGGAGTTTATTACTTTATAAGTTTATTATTTATCGAAAACATACTTTCCTATTACTTTACTTAGCTATTTAAGTAATAAATGTTGATTTTGAGCGAATTATTAAGGAAAATAATACACACAAAATGTGCACACAATATTATAAACACGGAAATGTTTTTTACCTTTTTGTTTTTCTTATTAAGGTTTTATTTATACATCAATTGAGCTAAGAAAGGTGCACACATAATAAAAAGTGATATATAAATATTTAGATACGTGTATATGTATGCATATATCGCGGCTATTATTATAAATTTTCCTATGGCGATATTTTCAAAATAAAATAGTGAAAAATTCTCAAATTTTTATATAATGTTTCTATATTAGTCCTTAATGTCACAGTAATTTTTCATTGAAATCCCAAATATGGTTTAGAAGAAATAAAAAATAATAAAAATAATAAAATAAATAATATAAAATAATAAAAAAATAAATAATAAAAATAATTGAAAAATAGAATATTAACTTCAAGGAATACGTGTAAAAAGTGTCACGTTTAGTTACGAATATCTTACTTTCGGAAAAGTCAATCGTTTTCTAACTGCCAATCACTAGGTCATATTTAAATCTATATGCGATGAAAGTTTCAAAAAGTTCTTAAAAAACTCATTTTATGTTACAACTACCTTAATATGCCCCAAGTATAACAAATTGCGCGTATATCGTAACATTAATTTCGAAATTGTTAAGTTGTGCAATCTGAACGATCGAATCACACCATTTGTATAAACGCGAAACGATGTAAATATTAAAGCTATATCAACGTTAAAATCATCATCTTCAGCACGGCGGCAATTTAAAAGCAGCGTGAATTCTTGAAAAACGAAATAAAAGGAAAAGGCATTTTAAGAGGAAAAGTTTAATTTTAGTTTGCGGTAAACCAAGTTAGAAAGAGCGTCGCGCAAAAAATCGAATTTCCTTCGCCTTAATCGAAACTCGATGACCTCCGCCGGCGGGTCTCTTCAGCCATAAAGATTCGATATGCAAAACACCGGCTTTTCGCTTTATCGCGCGCAAGTGCTCTCACTTGTACACTGTCTGCGTTATAACGGGATGACGGATTAATTCGCGGCATGGCGAAATTTTCGAAACAACCAAGCACCGTCGCTCAAACTGACAACGAAACGCTCCTTGTCGAGTGTCGGGGGGGCAAGGGGAGAGGGGGCCCGAGATCTTCGCCGGTGATGTCTCCGCCGTACTTCAGAATTTAGAGGACAGTTTGCTTGTGTTTAGCGGCTTCCAAGGAGAGCAGGGGCGGCATTACACCCCGGCGAAGATAGTTGTACATACCTGCATGTACATCTACTTCCGTCTCTACGAGGCACGCTATTGTCATTTATCGCGTCGTTCTCGAAACGGTTGCTTACCGCGCCACCGAGGCGTAGACGTGTCGATTCGCACATTTTCCCCGCTTTCCGCCATTCTCATTCCCCGCTCCCCGCCTCACCCTTCGTCACCTTCACTCCTAGTCGCGTCCATCGACTCAAAGATGCAACGACCGGGGGACAATCGCTGATGTCTAACTAGCTCCCTTAGGTAATCGCACTTTCCCGACACGTGAATTTCTATTGACGCGTCGTTCGCGACTTTACAAGATTCTAGATGCGCTTCCGATAAGACAGAAGAAGTTCAATTTCTAGCAAATCGGACGGAATCGGAACACGGAAATTTTCTACTTTCTCTAATTAAACTCGTTAATGAATCAAATAATTAAAAGACAAATATCTCTTAGACCGGAGTCTTACGGTATTTACTCTCTCGATGTCTCACTCCCGACCGTATATTTCACTCGATAAATAAATACACTTCTCTCATCTTAAAAATGTCGCTCCCACGTTTGTACTTTTCGCAAACCGTGGCGATTCACTTTAGATTGCGGTCTCTCCCGATAGTCAAAGCTTCGATGCTTCGTTCGTTCAACCTCCGTCGCATTTAGCTGCCTTATTTTACCTTTCCAGCTTAGTCCTTTTTTCAAGACCAATAATTGTCGAGCGCCACACCGGCGATGTTGGATATTACAAAACTTTATCTGCCCCCTGACTGCAAATGCAAAAGTTCAGAAGTCAACGTCGCGATGGCGGACGCGGTGATATCGGGCCGACAAATTAAACTGGTAACACGCCGGACTCGTTCGCGACGCGAAGTTAAACACGCATACAACATTAACGACGGTCATGTATTATCTCCAGCCGGTTGATGGATGATGATAGACGGCCGCGTGATGGTAGTAGTTGCAGTAGTAAAGTAACGACGGGCAGGACCGTGGCTGCGAGGCTGCCGGGTCTAATAATAACATCCGTAATCAGATATCGGATACCATTAGTTCAATTTCGGACGGACCCCGGCCGTTTGTTACGCCGTTTTCAAAAGCTCTCCTTTCGCAGCACTTGCCGTAGCAGCTTCCGTACGAGGGAGAGAGCCCCTGTTCTCCATACTTCGCTCGTTAGTTTAACGATCGCGAAAGTAAGTAATCGCAATTTTAATTGGACTTATCGTTTCGCGAGCGCAATACTCGCTTACGGCCGCACGGCCGTGCGCAGACATATCAATTTCCTTCCTCGAGCCTTATCCGCTCCCTCCCCTTCTTCCCTCCCGCCGTCTCCCGCGAGTACGGAAGAACTGGCGCGCGTTAACGCGAACGGCGCGAGCTTTTCAGCCGGTTTCGAGGTTTCGCGCCGCGCATAATACACGGCTAACAACGCGATATCGGCGTAAAACTGAAACGGGAGCTGCATTCGCGAGCTGGAGTAATTAAATACGACCGGGTCTGAAGTTGAAATCGAGGCCCTATTACCCTTTTTCACAAGGGCACAAAGAAAAGGCGCGATAATAACGCGGCCGTAATAATATTACGGCGGGTCTCGGGAACGAGCCGTCCTCGAGTCGACTTTTAAACGCGCGACGGGCAGATCAAGGGGCTCTCCACCCGCGGGCGACAACACAGCGGCAGCTTCTCGCGAAACTGTAGACTCTTCGCATTTAAGACCGCTCGTCGAAAGTAGTCGAAAGTAGAAAACGGCTCTTTGAAAGCGAGGAAACTCGGTGCGCGCGCGCCACCGAGCGAAGACGGTCGCTCGCGCGACCACCACCCGCCCGCGCGTATCAATCCCGTGTGTTTCGCTGTAATCAGATAATGGACGACCGATGGGAGAGCGAGGTGATCGAGTACGGCGCCATCAACATCACCGGCTTTCGCATCGTGGACGCCACTCGACCCCACGTCAAGGATTTCCTGGCCGGCTGGCATCGCCTGGATCCCGCCACGTCTCAAGGCGCCGGTCGTGAATCCATTTCCGTACGTACATTGATATACACCGTGTCCGAAACTCTTCAACCAGTCGCTCGTGTGAAGGTAGGACGTATTGAACGGTCCCCGGGAAGTGAAGCCGACAGAGGGCTAATTTTAGAACACTCGTTCTTCGTCGTACGCGTGGCTCTTTTTAGAAAGAGATAGCTATAGGTATGTAAGTGAGTAAATAAGAAATAGATGACCTTAAACTTCTGTCCCATCCCACCGTTTTCCCGTCCACAGGCGTTACAAGGTCTCTCGCGGTATAGTTATATTTCTGTGGTGGAGCAGGCTAAACTGCTGAGTGGAAAAGTTCTCAGCCATTTTCCAGGGAAACACGCAAAATTTCGAATTATTAATGATTGGAAATGCCCATGTATAGAGACTTAATTAATAACTGAAAAGTTTGCGCGTTATTTGCAAAATGGTAAGGAACTTTTGTTTAGAGTACACTAGTCTGCAAATATATGACAGCTGTTGTACCACTAACGACATATTCAAGGCTTCGAAGTTCAATATAGCGATGTTCGTTGACTGACTACAACAGCTGGCATACTTGTAGAGTAAGCCGAATTCTGAATAAAAAAGCCCATTTACCATTTTGCAAATAACAAATTTTCAAGTAAAGAAACCTTTATACACGGCCACTTTCAATAACCAATAACCCGAAACTTTGCACGATTGTTTGCAAAATAGTAAAGAACACTTCCGCCCAGTTTGACCTCTTCTACCGTCGGACGGTGCGATCGGCCGAAAGGTTTCGGACACCCTGTATACACATACATACACACGTGCATACGTACATGCACGTACAAACGTACGTACGTGTACATCTATATACCGGAGTCTCTCTCTTACGAAGCTTCATCTTCCTCCCTTTTTCTCGCATACCTATCCTCCGTGCGACAATGGCTTCTCGCCACTTCCACGGCGTCGCGCCCAGGGAGAAAACTACCCCTCCGCGTGCGACTGTCGGAGCGGCCATCGAGCGCACCAATTCTCTCCCGATGGACCGAATACTTTCTCAGGTTTCCCCGGTTGTCCTCCTATCCCAGTATCCGTCGTCGCCGGCGACGACGGTAGGAAAGTTTCGTGCGAGAGGAACGAGAATCAAACAAGAATCGTCGCGGGTGTCGGTCCGTTCGCTAGTCGCGCGGCTCGTTCGCGCTCGTGCGCTCTTTGTGTGCACGGTGGCTTGAGACTAAACTTGTTAAACTGCACCCGCATGTAGAAACTTGGACTTTTCAGCGCGTTTATAAAGTGCCGCTCGTTCGGCCGTACTTGTGCACGCGCGCGCCCGTGTTTCACGTTCCTCTTAATGACTGCTCCCTCCGCCGGCGCGTTAATAATTTTTTTCCCTCACGAGCTCTCTCGCTCTCTCTCTCTCTCTCGCGCGGACTTGGCAAAAACTAACTGGCGTTTAACGACGCGCGGCGACTCCCCGGCGCGACCGTGCCGTTTCGCGAGACGCTTTTTCGTCCGATAATCGTTGGTAAATTGACGTTTAAATTAAGGATCAGTTAAGATGGATCACCGAGTCGACGCGCGTGTCGCGGAGAGAGAGAGAGAGAGAGAGAGATTAAGCGGGGATAATTGAAACGATAAAGAAATTATATCGTGACGCTCCTTTCATTGAGTCGTTCGAAAATGTCAGAACCTCATTAGTCGTGGCAGAGTGAATAGCGATTGTAATGAAGCAACCGAGTTAATTGAAATTTCTATGAGGCACGAGGATTTATTTGTCGTGCGCTGTGCTTCGTTCGAATGTACGAAAGTCAAATGTATGCATGTATGAATGGACAATCGCAATTATTATGTTTGTTATTCCGTCCCATTTGCAGTATTCGCGAGGATCGTAACGTCAAGAAAGACACTCGGTCGTTTCGCGTGATTTCCGTCGCGCGACAAGGAACAGCGGGCTATAATCCCTAAAATGGATACATTGTTAACGGGATCCCGGGGTAAGGTTGGGCGGAATAGTATCTATGGATCTGAAAGCTCGGAGACAGGCCGCATGCAATCTAATGCAACGATTATCGTGCCCGATCGTTATACTCAGTGAGCATCAAGCGCGGTTTTCCAACATTGGCGAAGTGCCCGAGGTACTCTTGTCTCTGCGAATTTACGTATGTCTCTACATAACGACGAACCCCTTTCTCGATCTCGCCAACTACTCGATCCCATCGAAGGGAGAGAGGGAGGGAGACAAAGAAGAACACTCGTGAGACGGGAAAATCTTCGAAAAAAGGGAGAATGGAAAAGAAAACTTCCCATCGAAAACTCTCACTTTTCCCTCGCGTAAATCGTAGAATCGTGGGGGAGAGTGAAAGTGGAAAGAAGCTTACTCCCTCTGTCCTCTTTCCCTTTCCTTTTTTTCCCCTCCTTCGCGCGATCGATCTTAACTTATCGAGATCGATGTGTTCGTGGAAACTAATTCGCTGTCAAAATTAGGCACAAGCCGCCCTGATGTACGACGCCGTGTTCGTCCTCGTCGAAGCCTTTAACAAGTTTCTGAGAAAGAGAACCGATAAAAATAACACGAGACGAATAGGGGCTCCCGGCAGCAGTCAGCCCACAAACGGGACGAAATCTTTGGACTGCAACCACAACCGCGGCTGGGTGTCTCCGTGGGAATACGGCGACAAAATCTCGAGACTCTTAAGAAAGGTAAATGAATCTCATTAACGAGATTAATGCGGCTGGCGCGCATAACATTTCCATAATTATTGTGGATTAAACTCAGGTGTATATATATATATATATACATATATATATATATATGTTTAAAGTTTGCATAATTATCCACTCGCGTTGTGTAATCCTAGCGCATAAATTATGCATCATTAGTCATTATGTGTCGAATTAAATAAATATGACAATCAACACGATCCGCCGCGAGTTCGAAATTCGGGTTTTTCAGCGTCTGCCTCGTGCTCGACGCCGATATTGTTACGTAACGCAATATCGAACCGCGCAAATTTCGATATTTCGATACGACGCGATAACGATAATGCACGGTCGGCGTATCAGGGGGGGGGGCGAATGCGTGGGCGATTTATTTTCGAATTCTCGAGACGCGATCCAAAGGACAGGGGTACTCGATGTGTTGCGAAATACCGCGGCGACCGAAATTGCCACGGACCCTTCTCGGCGTATCTCTGCTCCTGACAGTAATTGGCGGTTATTCCGACTCTAGCGGAATTCCTGCGTTCGCGTCAAATAGTCCTCCGCCGTTCCGTCCCTTACGTATACATGCCGTTACTCTTCCACCCTATATCGCCCTATTTTTTTGCATTTTATCCCGGTACCCCGTTTGGCAATTTGTCATGTCATGGTTAAATCCGCCGGCGACGGGAAATAGTTCGGCGAAAAAAGTTTAAGATCAACGCGATTTTCGCAATAAATCCCGCCCAGACGACGATACCACCCGGCTCGTCCCCCGAATAATATCGTTTTCTCGTTGTAACATATCGAATTTTAATTTTCCGATTCTTTGATCGGAAAATATCTCGTTCGTTATCATTGTAATTGAATTGATTTTCGGCATATTGAATGCCAGCGTTAACGTACATAAAGGCGTATTTATTTTCATGTTTAAACATTATTCGTAATTTACATTTTCATAATATTTTGCCGTGCATCGAAAAGTGCCATCCACGCACTATATTTTTACGCGTTTTCCTCTCTCTTTTTTATTTTTCTCTACATCCATAAGGATCAACATATGATGGCAAATATCATGCGCGCATTGCAGCATCTGTTATTACATTTAGATTCTACCTGCGATTGCAAATGCACGCAATTAAAATTTATTTCCCCGCAGGTGGAGATCGAAGGTCTAACGGGAGAGATACGGTTCAACGACGACGGTCGACGACAAAATTACACGCTTCATGTCGTCGAGATGACTGTCAATAGCGCTATGGTGAAAGTAAGTCTATCTACTGTTATGATTATTATTGTTTGCACGAGGCACACGCGAAATTAATTAATACGCTAACATAATAATGTCCACGAGAAGCGCATGTCCTACGATTTCGCAACTTTGCGCAACCCGCTTACGTAAATATGAATTTCGCGGATAAACACATGCGTAAAAAAGTTGTTTATTAATATCTAACAATAATTGTGCATATTATTTATACAACAATTTTTACTTCTCTTTTTTCTTGAGATTCGTATTGAGTAACTTGCATCGCAATCTGTTGCCGCAGGTTGCCGAATGGACCGACGAGGGTGGTTTTCAAGCGATATCCGCCAAATATGTGCGACTTCGTCCGCATACAGAGATCGAGAAGAATAAAACATACGTCATTACTACGATAATGGTGAGTCAAGTTGAATGTTTCCGTTCTAACCGCGCACTTTTAAGATCCGTGGTGCAACATTGACATTGCGACTTTCGCTGCACAGGAGGAGCCATATATAATGAAGAAAGTGTCGGACACGGGTGAAATATTGGTCGGAAACGATGGTTACGAAGGCTACTGTAAAGACCTGGCTGATCTTATCGCCAAAAAGTTGGGCATATCATGTAAGTTTACTGTAATAAGAGGAAAAAGAAAGAGAAAGGCGAACGATAATTGTCGTAAAAGCTGCTTCGCTTAAAAAAAAATTAAAAATTACACTCGTATTCGTAAAAAATGCATAATTAAATATTTAAAAAAGAACATGCCAATTCCAAATTAAGTCTGATATCAGCGTGAATATTTAAATGCACGTAAAATACATATACATACATACATTTCATTCTTCTTTTCGAAAAACGATCATAATTATCTCCTTTTAATATTCGATGACGGCAATCAAAGTATATTCATGTTTTATCGTAATTATATCACTTAAATGAATTAACGAATTGTTTTACATTGTTGCGTTATCGGAGAAGGAAATAATTGCAATTATTATGGTGCAAAATGTTAAATAATTTAATTAATTTTATTAAGATGTAGATTCTCTCTTCGGGAATTACTCGATAAGTTCCCCACCGTTCTGAAATAACGATAAGGAGAAAGAGACTTCGTTTCGCGATTTCCTTCGGCTGCGTACGCTCCGGAGCAATTTCTAATTATCAATGCTAACGATGCCCGGCTGACTTCGTGCGGGAATAATTGTACAAGCAAGAATCACTTTCGCGAGCAAAATTTGAGCCGAAGCCGGCCCCACCCTTGACAACTTAAAAGACATAACGAAGCCTCTTTCGCGCGCGCGGAATCGATAATGGAAAAAGTTCCGCGGAAGAAATGCTGTTTCGTGCGCCCGTAAAGTACTTTCTTACGAATTTTCAGACGAGCTGCGGATCGTGAAGGACGCAAAATACGGTTCCGAGAATCCGGATGTACCAGGCGGTTGGGACGGCATGGTCGGGGAGCTTATCAGAAAGGTAAGTTCCGGTAATTTCGTTGTATACGCTACATCCTCGACGGGGAACGCGCTTTTTTTCCCCACCTCGAGGCCAGTCCCGGAAGTTTCCGCGAAAAAGACGCCGCTAGTAATTGGACCCAGTTTCTCGCAAGAGGGGACTATTGATCGCCGCGCCGGGCCGTACTCGAAACGGGCTACGAAGGAGCTGTTTTATCTCCCGACAGCAAGTTCGAACATACTCCACTAGATGCCCGGAGCTTGCAAGCTCTGCGCCAATTGCTAGACGATGTTAAGCTCCATCTGGAGGGAGCTTAGGATAAGCCGAAAGCTATCGAGCTTTCCGTAACATCTGATGTAGGTATATTCGTTCCCTCCGTCTCGAAGACGTCGGAGATAAGAATCGAAGAAGTGACGAAGTCGATGAACGCTTAAAAACGAAAAATAATGCAATTTTTATCATTACTTCTCGATGAATTGGATTACCGAAAAGGCTGGGTTATGATGCAACAATAATTGAAGCGTAGAATTGCAACTGCACGATGAACCTTAACCCTCATATAAAGCACGCATATTATGCGTAGTTACATTAAATTTGCCTTCATCTCTTTTAGCATCTTTATTATTTATCCATAATTATACATAATAGTTATATATAACAGTTGTAATGTTGAAAAATATATAAATTATTACAATTGATCGTCGAGTTAGAAGAGACTTGGCTTCTCTCTCGAAGATACCTCAGAGCTTCTCCGAGTTTATGTATTTAGAATAAATTTTTACCGCAATACATTATATTTTTAAACTGACTTGATTTTTGGGAATTACCTGTGATTTATTATATCCGCTCGCGTTACGTTTTCGCAGAAGTTGACATTCACGTTAAATATTCTACTTCGCAGGAGGCGGACATAGCGATCGCTCCCATCACCATCACCTCCGAGCGGGAGCGGGTGATCGATTTTAGTAAACCGTTCATGTCTCTCGGCATCAGCATCATGATAAAAAAGCCCATCAAACAAAAACCCGGGGTCTTCAGCTTCCTGAATCCGCTGAGCAAGGAGATCTGGGTGTGCGTTATTTTCGCCTACATCGCAGTTTCCATCGTCCTGTTTATTGTGTCGAGGTAAGGAACTTTTTCCCGCGGGATACGTAATATTTTCACGAGAAACACGCAAAAAGGCGCCATTTTTAGTGCAGTAAATGCGAGCTGGATTACAGCTCGTAGTATCTGTTACTTGGAGGTTTTTTACACGCCGCCGTCCAGGCGAGTCACCGCTTATTCCTCCCGTTGTGGCAAAACATATATACGTATATTCCCCATCTTATTAACTCAATAATTACAGCCGCGCACCAGATGTTAAGTACGGAAAGATCGGCCAACGCGTCTCGGCGTTTCCGCAATTAAACGATAAACTGCTAGGTATTTGTAACGAGTTCGCGAGGAGCCTTGTCTCGACACTCTCCGTGTGCGTATAGGCCTTGCGACGATAGGCGCAATTGTGTGTCAAGGCGCGGCAATTACAGATACGTTTATCGCGATACGTCGAGCAAATTATACCGGCGCGATACGTTCGCCGCGCTTTTTTTTTTTTTTCATTTTATCCCCTCCTACGCGAGCGAGCGAGCGTGCGCGCGTATTTGCGTTTCTTATCGCGCGCCACCGCGATCAAACGCGACATTCCGCCGATCGCCCACGATCACCGGTGCCGATATTAAAACGCAACGTCACGAGGATAAACGGTCCCACCTAGCTCGCTTAATGCCGCCCCAGCGAGTAAACCGAGTTATTGACGTGTACGAACTATCTCGACGCGAACGTTTGCGCGTTTCAGGCGCGAGCGTTCTCAGCTCGCCTTAACGAGGACGTAATGAGCGTGCGAAGGAACATTTCAAGAACTCCTTTAATTAATGAGACTTTTCGGACACATAATTTCGCACTCGGTACGACCGATGCCGAGAGAGCGCAACGAGAGCATGCGATGTCGTCGTGAAAAGCGCGGAATTTCGTTACGTCGACTCTCTTCCAAATGAATATTATTCTAATCTTCGCAAAGGACGGCCGTCTCGGCCGCGAAGCGACTTTTACGGATGTAACGAGTCATCACCAGCCGAAATACAGCTGTTTAACGTCGCCACAGCGTGCGGCTCAGAAGCAGTTCTCGCGACTTATTGACATTGGCAGGCGACCGTCCCTTGCGTGTGCCGCTGTGTAAAACAATGCATTTATTCACACGACCGACCGGGACACGCAATCCCACCGCGTTTATGTGGAGCACTAACATTATTCTTTAACCAATGTCGGCGATCGTTTTTCAATGACCGTGTACTCTCGGCACATGGGTGTGTACCATGTATGCACTCGCAACAGAACCTGTTCAGATTCCGCGTGCGACTGCGAGCTGTCTCTGCACAAGGGTACACGATAAACTCCCGAACGTCTCTTCGAGCCTTGTTAAAATATCTCCCGTGTTTCCACGTAGCTCGAGAACCAATATCGCTCTAACGTTCGACCGATTGCTCTGACTCCGTCCGACAATATAGATTCTCGCCGTACGAGTGGAGGGTCCTGACCATCAGCGGTAGCACAGATTCGGCCATTAGCGGACGAAACGAGCCCGGTTTGCAGCATCCTCACACGCCGCAAGGTTCACCTCACATGCCAACTTCCAGCATGGCCAACGACTTCAGCATCGTAAACAGCCTCTGGTTCGCTCTGGCGGCGTTTATGCAACAGGGCTGCGATATCTCGCCCAGGTAAACACGGCGCTCGCGTTATTAATTTCCCGACGGCAATTAACACCCGGCCGGGAAAGACGCTCACTCGACGTTTAATGTCTTCCGATCGCCGGTCTCAACGTCAGCTTTCATTTATGTCGGGAATCGCGAATTTTAATCGTCGCGGACCCGTTCGTCTTTTCCCTTTTGATCCACCGATCGCGTGCAAATGGGCGCGACGGTCACTTCGGCGCTTCTAAAATTCGAGGCGACAAACGCAGATCTCCACGGTTCGTGCATTCGATAACACGATATTGCAATTATACGCCGGTGGGTTTTTCAGCAACCTCGGATTCAGTGCCTCTTTTTCAGGTATATTCCGGCGAAATTCCTCTTTCAATTAATCCCGTCCACTTCGGCAGGAATGTAACCGTAAAAATTCACAGCGTTACCGGAAACATTGAATATTACTAAAATTGAAACGAGAATAGGGGCCACTTCATATCCCGTCGGGAAAAGAGTCGCGAAATTACGAAGGGATTTGACATTTATAAATTGTCGCGGCGGAGGCGGGGGTGGGCTCGTGTAAACGGACGTCATAGCATGTGTGTCGCGCAGTTTCACGATTAGTTGGAATTCGGGTGAGCTCAGATATTTATCTCCGAGGGTGGCTCGATGCGAAGCTGCGAGGGTAGGAGAGGAGAGGAGGAAGCGAAGAGAGTGAGGCAGATCGGCGCGCGCAAGTGGCTCCCGCGTTCTTCTCGGGCTAATTATAGCCGCCCACTCTAGCCTCCCTCCGTTTCCGTTTCCGTGGTATAAGCGCAGGTAAGTACATAAAGGCACAGGGAGAATAGCTCCCTTTACCCGGGACAGGTCGAGCGTGCAGCCCGGTAATAGGATGAATCGGCTAAGATTCTAAGGGTCCCTTCTCCCTGTCGACGTTTAAAATCTTTCGTGTAAATTGTTGAGGCGTCTGTCGCCCCTCGCGCGCGTTTGACTTAAAAAGTTCCCCGTACTTTTCGGCGGACACGTTCGGCCGCGTCAGGCCAAAAGGGATGATCTTAACGATCTCTCTCTCTCTCTCTCTTGCTGTCCTCCTCATCTGTGATTCGCTGTCGATTATGCCGTATCGCGCGTTGCGAGTAGCGCATATAAAGAAGTCGATTTGCCCCGTCCGTCGGAGGATGTATCGTTGAGTCGAGATCAGAGTTCTGGAACAGCCCGTGTGTGTGACTACATGTATCTCGAGTGAGGAATCTTTCGCTCGCGTTTCGTTTTGAAACGCGATTACTACAAATACATAAATCACAGGGCGTTATTCAGTCTCTCCGGGTGCCTCACGAGCGTACCTCGTACATTATTCCAACGATAAATGCGCGTTATCGCCATCAGCAGCGTCATTATACTCTCGTTAGTAAACATTTCAATCGCTCTTATCTCGCGCACTCCTTCGCACGTGCGCCCGCGCACCACCGATTACTCTATTCGTCAAGATCGACGATGTAGCGCGCGCCATCGAAACGCGCTCGTGCTTAATGACATAAACATTATGTCCCCCCGCCCCCTCCGCCGTAACTCGGGGCCAAGCGCAGATTGATTAGATTTGTATCGCGCGATAATTATAATTCATATTAAATCGAACTTGCGATTCGTGGAAAAGATCGCGGATCGGCTCCCGTCTCGTGCGATAAAAATTGACGACGCTATCGTGCAACGCGTAATTTAGATCGGCATAATCGCTGGATAATTATGATCGCCGCGCGCGAGGCCGGCTCATTAGAATAAAGTGTGCCCGCACGTGCAAAAATTCCGAGCGCGACACGTGTAACGACCGCGTATTCATCTCCACATCCTTCAACGTTTCACGAGCTATCATATCCGCGCTTCTTGTCCGCGCGATTCTCTCCCCGACGGGCGCCATCGAATAGATAAGATTCATAGTTTTAAGGTTCCGCGGGAAAAAAAGAAACACCAGTTTTACCGTATTTTCCCGCGAATTTCTCCGGTTTCTGTTCCGAGGGTGGGGGAATCTGTTTAGAAAAGTTCTCTAATGTTCGGTTAACGCTCGGCCACATTTGCTTTTCTTCCGGTTTCCTTCTTCCAAAGGGGATAAGAAACCGGGGGAAATCCGCGGAAAGAAAATGGGAAAAACCCAGGTTTTGTTTTCGATACTTTAAAACAACAGATTAGATTTGGCGTGCGATCGGCAATTAAACGAGTTAAGAATTTCGTCAATTCCAGTCTTTTTAATCCTCGACGGAACCTCTTGTCCTGTTATGGGTGAAATCATCTTCATTCGGCATGCCGAATTGTACGATTTATGCGATTCATACGTCATTTCTCAAAGCGCAAAACCATTATAATAATTTTCTATGTGAGCAAGCTATGCGAGCAAGCTACTGTTGCCGCGGTGACGTATAGTTAGCGTCGCTTCGAAATGTCCCGTCGTATAGCGCGTGATCTTAGAATATAACGCCGCGGCTTGGATAACGATTTTCGAGCAAACATTTCAGGCTGCAAACAAGTGACACATCTATAAACAAAGCACAATTTGCTCGTATATTCAAAACATTGTTACACTAGGTGGGAGAGTCCAGCATGAATAGAATATTCACGCGGTAGCGCTACATTGTGCTTCAAAGCGGTAATATGATAGAATTCAGATGACATCTCACGTTTCTTCGATGTACACATATACATGATTCTAGATTCTAGCATTTGATATGTATCACGATTGCGTGGTTGTGTAAAACCGTGTTAAAATTTAAATAATTTAATTAACTATTTCTCTCTTTCCCTTGCTTACATTCGCGCTTGAGGGAAAGTTTTCCCAGAGCGCACAATAAATTCATCTATCTATCCATCTATCTATTATAATATCCTTCCGATCTTTCTCTCTCTCTCTCTCTCTCTCTATTTCTCTCTCATATTATATTATAATCTGTTACATTCATAAACTATTATATTCATATTTCATCATTCACATTTACATATTGCAATCTTTTACGTTCTCATTTTCACTTACACTCAGTGATCATTATCGTAATCACTATCCATGATTAATGTAGTGATTATCTAATCAACCACGTGTTGTGAACAGTATATATGCTCAGATATGCATGTCTCGTACATACGCACAGTATTCACCATTCATTTCTGCATGTCGAAAGAGTCTGACCGAGGACTTAACAATAAACTCTATCTATCCATCTATCTCTCTTTTGCCTGCAATTCGCAGATTAATTGCCACATACAGCACCTTACGAACAACGCATATCGCACCTTACGAGCAACGCATATAAAAAAGTCGACTTTTCACATTCGTCGGAAGATATATGATCGGATTGAGATAGGTTAGTTTTTTAGGACAACTCGTGGGTACATGTACCTCGAATGAAGAATAATCGTGATTGCATTTTACCGTATGTTTCTCTTTCGTGTCGCGCTTCTAAAGTCATTTTTACGATATACACGGTAAAAATAGTAACTCGCTTTGTCACTTTGTCAGTTGCTCGATTTATTATAAGGCAGAAAAAAATAGCACTGTCGTTCTCCGTTTTTCTCTACCGTCGTACCAAACGAGATACTAATATATTGATTAGCCGTATTCTAATTTCCGACTTTTTATTATTTACTGAAATATCTCTTTACGTCATACCTGAAGCATCGCCACGGCATGCTAACGCAACAACACGGGTTGGGAAACACTGTCCCGCGAAACTGCATGCATTCCTGCGGAGTCGCAACAAAAGTGATCGTTACGAGTACGCGCGCGTTTTGTCGTTTACGCGAAGCAGACCGCGTGCTCACTCCGAAACTGGGTCTCAATTAATTTACATTTGGCTGTATCCAGTGCGCCACCCTATCCTAGTAGCCCCCTTGATTAATGGTTTAAATATTCGCCCGGCGGCGATATGAATTGTAAATTTTGTGGAACCCAGGCGGCCCACCATCTCTGTCCTCCTTCTCTGTGCTTTTCCTCCTATTCTCCTTCGTCCACCCTCTCTCCCTCTCTTTTTCTTTTTCGATGCTCACCTCTCGCAAAGCCGACCTGGTCCAAAGCGAACGCACATAATGAAACCGGTAAATTGATCGAATTTTCACGAATGTGCCTACGACTTTGATCACGACGATCATAACGACTGAAAAGAACTCACTTCACTACACGGTATTGCACATAGATAAATGCGAATTATCTTTAAAATAGCACCGTAGCATATATTTTTTAATATTATGTGACGATTTAAAAGATTTTACATCCGTATAAATATAAATCCCTGACTCTCTGTATGATATTCGATAAGTTCGTATGGATTTTAACAAAAGGTTCGAGGTCAGTTTTTTTTTTATAATTGAGTAAAACTATTCATCGGTATATTGTTATCGTTTTTTTTCGAAGACAGAAGGTCGTCGGAGAAAACGTAGAAAATGAAACTGTGTGTAAAAAATGAAATTGACGATATGGGGACGTCGGCTTTGAATTTTTCGTAAAAGTCCGCACGAACTTACCGAACAATCCAATATTACATTCGCATAGTAGATGTACATATCACGATTGCGTTGCGCAAATGTCTAATTATGCACGCGCATATTTGCTGTTCTGAACTGATGTGTGTCTCCCGAATAATGTGATCAACAGATCCATATCCGGCCGCATAGCCGGCAGCGTTTGGTGGTTCTTCACTCTGATTTTAATATCCTCCTACACCGCAAATCTCGCCGCGTTTCTAACTATCGAGAGGATGGTCACGCCGATTAATTCACCCGAGGATTTGGCGTCGCAGACGGAGGTACAATACGGCACCGTCGCCCACGGCTCCACTTGGGATTTTTTTCGAGTGAGTGCGAACGATGCCCCCCCCCCTCCCCTCCCCCTCGCCGACCGGGCGCATTTCCTCGCGCGATCCCAAGTTAAGAGCGTCGTTAAATCTCCGCGCGACGCGCATCGGATAATGTAGAACCGCATTTATCTCGCGTCTCTCTCTCTCTCGCCTGTCCGCAGAAATCTCAGATCAGTCTCTACAGCAAGATGTGGGAATTTATGAACTCGCGGAAGCAGGTGTTCGTCAAGTCGTACGAGGAGGGAATACGAAAAGTGAGGATGAGTAAGGGCAAGTACGCGCTTCTGATAGAGAGCCCGACGAACGAATATATCAATGAGAGAGAGCCCTGCGACACAATGAAGGTCGGCAGAAATCTCGATGCCAAGGGATTCGGCGTCGCAACGCCGCTCGGATCCCCGCTCAAGTGAGTTCCCGTTGACGATGTAATATACGTAGTAATTGAACCCCTACCGACAAACGACTGACGAGATTTGCCTCGCTTCTTCGGGTTGATTCTTAATGCACAACAAAAAACGAGAAGAATATTGAAAAATCATCGAATGTTATTTCTGTTTTCTATTTTCGACAATTGTGTGTACGTACGCGATTCTTTCGACGTCTCATATATCGCATCATCGTTACTATGTTAAAGACAAGACACTCGTGTCGTAAATTAATTTGCCGTTTGATTCGCTGAATGCGAATGATTTTGCATCCTCGTTGACAATTATTCTGCACACCTCGTGAAACAGCAGCGACAAAGAAGACACTTAGATATATTTTCGTTGAACAAACAAGAAAGCGAGTAATTAAACGGAGGTTTTGTAGTCATCAAGGTAAAACACCGAGATGTCCTAGTACGTACCTCCCCCCCCCTCCCCCTTTTCCCTGTCACTCTCTCCTTCTCTTTACCACTCTTTCGCGCGATCACTTCGTCTTTGTCTCTTTCGAGCCTTTTTGCGGCCTGCGCTTCTCGTTCCGCTGCGTTCGGAGTGTTGTCGCACATCATTACGCGCAATTAGCATAGAAAAACTCGCGCCCCCTTTTCCGTGTCATTACCCTTTACAGGATACGTTCACCATCGACCGGCGCTATTTCGTATCGCGTTTCGACATCGCGTTAACATCCTCGACTCGCCGGTCTGTACAAACCAGATCTGCTCGCCCTTTCATTTAGCTCTTACTAATTCTAGATTTTCTCGAGCAATCAGCCGCATATCATCTTTTTCCAACTATGTTAAAAATACATCGCGTCCTTTTACGGAAATATAGAAACTCTATTTTTTGACAATTTTACACGATCGTTGATAATACAATTGATTTTGTATCTCGGAATTGTGAGACTTTATTAATTGTGTAATTATTAAGCATTAACTTTCCTAAAGATATTTTCCAACAGTATTTTATCTTATTATCAATAGCCCTCTTCTTTATTCTCCGTTTCTTTAAATATCTGCGCGACATCAAGTATTACGAGATCCCAGCATTTTCGTGCAAAAATTTCTAACTTTAATTAAGTTTCAGAGGGAAAATACACCGTTAAAACGTCCATTAAAATAAAATTCGTATTTTAAACTAAAATATGCATTAATAAGTAAGAATATACCCGACTTCGGCCATTTACAGCTCGAAAGTTATCGCGGTCTCGACATTTTCATCATGGGATTTGCGGCTCTAATTAAGCTCTAAAGTGCGTTAAGGTATTGTACGATAATCTCGGAGCGTCGCGCATACAATAAAGCGAGCCGGAAGAAAATGTATGAATAAGTATTTGTCGCCACGTTAATTTCCATAATGTGACGAGCAGGCTTACCGCAGCGCCGGCAAATACGCGCAAATTTGCATGTTATTGATTTTTTTAACCGCACGACCCTTGACGTTTCGTGCAACATTCGCGACCTCATCCCTCGCGACTCACACGCTGTCTTCAGATCGTTGAAGCAATATCGCTGCCGACAGGTAATTGGGGATGGTATGCAAACAGCAGCCTTTATTATGTCTACTTACGTGCACACCGACGTGAACAACAGCGTACACCACCGCGCGGTTTCCTCTCAATCTTTTTCCCCGACGTTCAAATCGAGCGCTCCTCGCTTTCTGCCAGCGGATCGGGAGGGGAAACTTCATGAAACCGATATTCCGCGAAGCTTAATTAAAGAAAGTTCCCCCCGACTTTTTCAAACAAATCTTATTAGGCGCATTGCCATTATTGTGCCTCGATGTTCTGGTTACCTATTCGCGCGTAATTAAATGGTACCTCGGACATGCCTCGTGCTCGGTGATTGAAATACGTCGCTAGATAAGAGAAGTGAAAGAGGAGAAGTTGACAAGAAATTATCACGAGGCAATACAGTCGCGCAATCTTACGAATCACGTTGTTCCCTCCCCTTCTCTTCATGCTGTGTACATACGGTATCTCACATAGCATATTATGTGGCATTTACTTAACGATATTTCCGCTCGACGACGAAACAGGGATCCCATAAACCTGGCGGTACTGTCACTGAAGGAAAACGGAGAATTGGCGAAGTTGGTGGAACGATGGTGGTATGAAAGAACGGAATGTCGGCACGTTGAGAAGCAGGACGCTACTAGAAACGAGTTATCGCTGAGCAACGTGGCGGGACTATTTTATATCCTCATCGGTGGCCTTCTCTTGGCACTCGCCGTGGCTCTTTTGGAATTCTGCTACAAGTCGCACACAGAGGCTACAAGGGCGAAGGTAATGATTCATATAATGTATCACGATCATTCTCGCTACCACGTGCCTGATTTTTTATATCGGTCCGATACTACCAACCAGTGCTGACCCAACATTGGATCACGGTCGAATGATAACTCGGGTCCGATATGGACAGCCAACTCTTGACTGAATATTCACAGCCGAGTGTCAGTAAAAAGTGAGTGTCTCGCGTAATACTCGACGTTGGTCGCATAATATCGTAATATCAGTTTGAGTCTCCAGATTACACCCGTATCATGCAAGAAACGTGACAGATCGCGATGGAAATCCTTGGAAACCTTCATGCGTGAAACTTCTTATTTTATAATGATAAAAAATTCCGACGCTTTATGTTCCCTTGTCTAAATATGTTGTGGTATCTCTGTGTAACGACATGCCGTTTGCCTGTTTTGGATAAATCGTGCTGTTGGTTTCAGTGAAAATCAATTTTTATAAGTAAACATTCGATAATTTACCGGTAATGGCCGAGTAACCAGCTGACAGATTCTTGGTCATTGATGATTGGCGGGCATAAATCGGTCAAAAGTTGGCTCTATTGTAATATTTAAATATATATCCCGAAGAGGCGCCAGGTGACGTAGAGGATATAATTCTATACCTTTGTTACATCCCATTTGTCATCGCGAGATCATTTCATTACGTGACATTATCGAACCATTCATTTTAATAATTAATCGTTAATTTGTGTTACGTGAGTGATATTTCGAAGTATGATCATGTTTTGGCTCTAATTCCCTAGCTGTACTATTCGTATAAAGCCCAATAAACTATCTAGCCTAATATTCTCAAATAATTATATAACTTTTAACGTTCTTTGAATATTTTTACAATTATGTAGAAGAAAAGCTTGCATATGGCATTCATGAAATACTATTCGTATCTTCCTCAGATACCTTTATCGGACGCGATGAAGGCGAAAGCGCGACTTACCATCGGTGCTGGTCGCGATTTCGACAATGGACGGGTAAGTAAGAGCAATTGAGGAATTCTTTACCCTTATGTTCGCATATACGCATATTCGCATACGGTATCAGTAGAGATTGTTTGGCAAGAGACGCTCCGACCAAACGTTCCGCCGATCCAAAGAAAACTTATCAAAAGAAGAGACGAGAAAAAATACCTACATAATCATATACAAAGCGCGATGTCGATTTAACGATATTTGCCTTTGCATCGCTTAAACGTCAGTTCACTCAATAGCATATTCGAGCTCATTAAACCGTTCGATATGAGAGAAATTAAGTGTATAAAATACCACGTTTAATGCCAATATCTGTACACGTTAACGATAACAAAATTCACGTGGTTCGCCGAACACGTTATACAAGCATTAGCAATTAGTACAAGTCGAAACACCGTCGCCGATTAATTATGTTAATCACCGTTATAACGTACATCCCACGGTGTAGGCTGCTTTCCATTAAATTGCGTATCAATTAATTAATTAATTGTCCATTAATCGATTTCTCCGTCGAATCGCCGTGCTAATTTCACCCGGGGAAAGACACACCGGCGCGGATCGGCGGCGCGTTTCCCGGTCATGCAATTACTTACTTCGGTCTCGAGCCAAAGGTATCGATGTATCATAAAACATACATTCGCAACAAGAGCATCGTACATTATACATACGCATATATACATGAGACCTATACATTATCCATACATATATATAGATGAACGATATAGAGTACGGCTTGGCATGCAGTTAGCAGCGTAAACGTTTGACACACTCGTTAGTTACGCCGGACTTCGACCCGGCCACGTTTAACGTCCCAGAGTTTCAGCCCGAGTCTCGAAGAGACCGATCGACCAAGAGGACTAAGACCGATCGATATATATTTTGACATACATATATATCCATATATGTATATTATACCTATACATATGTATGCGTACGTGCGTGCGATGTGCGGCTGGCTGGATGTGTTGCGCTCTCTTCTGTTTCTCTCGTTCTCTCTTATTTTTTTACTCAATGGACACGCGGAGGGCGGGAGGGGAGGGGTG